ATAGTGTCTGCTTACTGGGTTATATGTTTGCCAAAATAAATAAGCACATAAATGAGCCTTTATGTAAAATATATATGAGTTAAATTTTTGGGCCTTTGATATTTTTTTAAATTAAAATAAGACACAATTGTATTTAAGTTATTCTTTAAAAAGAAAGTAAATATTTAAGTAATAATTTTCATTTGCTTTAGAAAATAAAGTTGATTTCTTTGAGTTGAACTATAGATATATGAGAAACTACTATATCCTGCATAAAGAATGATTTAGCAATAAAAAGCTCTCAATGGGAAGATTTATTGAAGGTAGTGAATCTGTTAATTCAGACAAATTTTTTTTTTCGATTTATCAGCTAACATGCTAGCCTTTGGCAAACAATCAATAATTTATATTTGATTAGGAACCTAAGGTTTTTTCAATTACTATATGATATAGTAGTTTTGCATAATAATATTTAAATTACAATATCATATTATATCTTTAGTTAAAATTTGTAGAACTTTTCTTCTGGATTCTTTGTTGAAAACATCATAAAAAGAAGATATCTCAAATAGAAAAACATCCTTTTTTGAGAGGTTCCAGAGCAATTTATGTAATATTTAAGACAAGGCATTTGCAAAAATTAAAAATTAACCAACAATCTTCTTATAAATATTCTTCTTAATACGCCTTTGTTTACAAAAATTGTGCATTCATTGGTAGGTTAGGTTCTAAAAAACGCTAACAATATGATAAACAAATGCGCTCTTAAACTGGTCAGACTAAGCATTTTATGACCACGATAAAACATCTATTACTAAAAAATAACAAGAAGGGCTATTGGCTTAAACATGTTGTTCTAAAAACATGGAAACATTTAAATTTTTTTCTTGGAAAATCATGAATTTTTTTTTTGTATTAAACTTCAGAACACAAAGCAAAAGTCTAATGATCAAAAATTGAAAAGAATAACAACACATAATAAACAACAAAGACATAAATAATTTTAAAAGTTACTAAGTGCATTTAACTAAATCTTTTCTTAATTTAATATACTTTTCATTTTTGTGATATAAATATATGATAGTCAATTTTAAAGGTACAAATGATGATCAATCATAAAAGTATTTTGCAACTTCAGAAATAGTTTTGTGGTAAATCATTCTTTAATAATTTTGAACAACGGATTAAATGTATTTGTAATAGTAGTTTTTATTAATTTTAAACATAAAAATAAGAAGATGATAAATATTTATTTGGTAGATATTTAGTATATTTAACTTAGTAAAGGTTGGCAAGGTGTTTATCGGCTTTCATTGACTTTCATTGCATATTAAAGAGTTTTTTAAATTTATTTCTATTAGTACTACACCATGCAATGTTAGCGTAATTTAGATAGGAATGAATAAAATAGAAATAAAAGAATTTTTAACAACCTGAATTTAAAAAAGGTTTTGTCCTATAAAGTAGGCCAATGTTCCTTGATATTTTACCTTCAATATATTTTATATGACCTCTCCATGTTACATTTTCGTCAAGAAAAAAACTCCTAGAAAGTTTAATGACTCTTCTCTATTTATTTCGAAAGTGGTTATACAAAGATTTGGAAGTTTTAATGGAATTTTGTCCCGTTCATGATAGGGTTGGAAAAAATTACATTTTGTTTAGACAAATTTAGATGGTATAGTTCGAAGCCATTTAAAGTCTGAGTGTTTTATACTGTAGTTTTTTAATTTGGTTAATAAAATATAATAATAATATACAGTGTCAAAAGCCTTAATGAGATCAATAAAACGCCCAAGTATATTTATTTTCATCAAAAGAATTAAGAATATCATGAACAAAATTAACAATTGTTCAAAAAACAAAGTACCAATAATGAAACAAAAAAAAAAATAAAGATAAAAGAAAGGAAGCTCACAAAGAAGATAAAGTTATTCGTGTTATAGCAAAGCAAGAAAAAGGAAAATAAATGGAGAAGAATTTAAACTACACCAAAAATTATAGCTTATATTATCTTAATAAATTTAAATACAAGTTTTAAAAATCTTGAGTCTAATAACTTACTCTTTGATTACCGCTACAAATTATGACCAACTTATTTTACTGCTGAGTTGTGAATAACTAAAAAAGATTCTATTGTGCATTAGAGAAAGAATCAGCCTAAAAAGGGCTATGCCCTTGACATTTAAAGACAAAGATTTTTAGTAAAGTCTTTGTCTTTAAATGTCATGATGGTATTTTCTATCTTATTTTTCTATATTCTTCTATATTTCATTTTTCTGGGAAATTAAATTTCATTGGAAAAAGCTAAAGAAAAAGATAATATTTGAAAAAATCATTAAAATTAAAAGTACTCCTTGTTCAACTTAATTTTTGTCGCTTTATCTTAGGTATGAAGAAAAACATTTTTGTAAAACAAATTTAAAAGGAACCAAAAGAAGAAACTTGACTTGGGAGGAGTTATATGAAAATCTTATAATTGTCATTGAAGCAAACTTAATACCAAACAAAAAATTCTTAAGTAATTTGAGTAATAATTTAAATTCTCGTGTATCACGTGATGCGGCTGTTGAAAGCAAAAAAAAAATCTTGGGAACGTGCACAAGTAGTACAAATTGATAAAATAAATAGAAAATGAACAACATAATATGTTAAGTATGATAACGAATCTAATAAAGTATGGTTATATGGTTTATGGAGTAATCTATGTCGTTATTAAAAAATTGTGCCACTTTAAATTCAATTTAATTTTTCGTTGTGCCGGTGAAAAAGTTAGTATTTTAAGCTATAAACAATGAGTAGTTTATAAATAAATAAATTTAAATACTAATTGATAACTTACTTGAACCTAATTAATCATCACCTTTAAATAACTACAGATAATTCATAAATTATAAGTATTGAGGTTGATCTAAAAAAATGTTATAAATTACATTCTTTTGTATGAAAACTCTATAGTAAAAAAGTGACGTCTTAAAAGGTTGCTGAGAAATAAAACCCTAAATTTTAGACCACATGCCCCAAATTAGGGAAAAATAAGCATTTGGGTAATGTTTTTGTAATTTATTAAACCGAATAAAAATTTATTGATTAGTTTCAAGTTTTATAAAAACTTCTTATGTGCTTTAAAAGTTTGATTTTTTTTGAGGGGGCAAAAGCCTTTTATTGTCTTACAAAAATGTCATAAACTTTTCAATTTGAATCGTATTTATAAAACTTCATTTATTTTAAGAATATAAAAAAAAACAGTTTTTTACTTATTTTAAATTTGTTTTTAGTTGATATATCATAAAACTCAGTTTCATCAATTGGAAATCGTCTGTGGTCATTTAAACCTTAACAGAGGTGCGGTAAAGAGTGTTGACCAGTACTTTAATTAATAAACTTGCGAAGTATAAAAGTAATTTACCAAAGTATAAAGGTTTTTTTCCACCAAGGTAATTTTAAAGGTAATTTTTGACCAAAGTACAACAAAACTACAAAGCTGTTAACAGTATCTTAGGTTAGTTAAAGAGATTAATTTACCGTTCCATTGGAATAGACATAAATCAAAGTTTAATAAACAAGATTGATTTTTAACACAGGTTAAAGAAGAAAAAAAAAAATTAACTAATGGATAATTTTTTTTATTGTTCAACTTTCAAATAACTCACTGCATAGTTGCCATTCACTCTACAATAACACCTATCGGTTAGAACTAAAAAGATAAGTTGGATCTGCCACTTTTCCCCCTTTTACATGGTATTTAACTATACTATTTATATATGGTATAAAGCAAACTATATTTTGTCATTTATATACGGTGTAATATTATCATTAGAATGCCGTCTATACATGGCATAAAATATTTTGTATAACATGCATTACCAAATATAAATTGCAAAAGCAAAACGCATTTCTATAAAAATATTTTTTAAACTTCCTCATTTTTGATCTAATCAGAATTGTTAATCGTCGGAAATCGTTACAGCTTATTAGTGTTACTAAGGCAATGCTATACCACGACAATAATAAGAATTATAGCAACAGTTAAACTTTATTTAAATTTTATTTTGGTAGAGCAGAAAATTAAAAATATTCTTTTACTATCTTTTAATGTTCTAGACTTTTATTGTTCTAGTATTAAAAAATATTATTTTATTATCTTTTATTGTTCTAAACTTTTATTGTTCTAGTATTAAAGATGATTTAAGAACTTTATTAACTTTACTCAATCTTCCTTACACCGCTTATCAAACCATTTCTCTTTGTGATTTTTTTAATTCTGTATCTATCTATCTATGTCTCTCTCTCTCTCTCTCTCTCTCTCTCTCTCTCTCTCTCTCTCTCTCTATGTATATATATATATATATATATATATATATATATATATATATATATATATATATATATATATATATATTTACATTTATATTAATGTGTAGAAATACTCTGCCGTAGAAAGCCAAAAAACGGTAACTGAAAATATTGTTTTTGAGTGTTTTTCTGAAATGTAGCATTTACAGTAACTCTACACGGTTTCATGTTTTATGGAACATAAACTATGTACTATTTTTTAAATATTATTCAGCCAAAAGACAGTGACTATTGCATTAAACCATGTTTGTAAAGTTTAAAACATTAAACTATGTTTGTAAAGTTTAAAACATTAAACTATGTTTGTAAAGTTTAAAACATTAAAACGATTTTTCAAGTTACTGTCTTTTTACTTTACAGGGCATTACTCTTGTTAAATTAAGTTCATTATGCAAATGTTTAGTTATTAAAAAAGATATTTGCATTGTTTAATTTTTATATTTGAATCATTACTATGATAGTAACAACGAATATATTTTTATAACTACAAATAGCTTTGTTTACGTAGGTGAGATTATAATTGATATTAATATTGTAACCAATAAAAGCTTCATAATTAAGTGACATGGATATTGAAATTTAGTTTCGAATTCGGATGCGCGCAACAAGAAAATCGACAGTTGCGTAATAAATCGGATATGTCTATTGTAAAAAATAGATATAGTATATTTTAAAAAATTTTTGTACATAATGTAACACTTACAGAGGTTTTATAGAAAAACCTCAAAAAAATGTTATAATTAGGTATTACATATATAAATGGCTTTAACTATTTTGATATGTAAGTTAATTGTATTAACTTTTAGTGGTTACTTTTTCCCTTTAGCGACACAATTTCAACTTTTTCTCTCATTAAATTATTTTATTCTATTATTATTTTTGGTATAAATATATATATATATATATATACATATATATATATATATATATATATATATATATATATATATATATATATATATATATATATATATATATATATATATATATGTATAACATTTTTTCGAAAAATTCTGTGTACAGGCACAAACAATAATAAATGATAATAATAATGACGCATTTCTAAAATACTGTAAAACAATCGTACTAAACATTAAATCGATTTTTTTTTTCTTCAGTGTTGTTTACCATACGCGAGGTAATTTTACAAGGAACATGTTATTGCAATAATAATGGATTTTGTAATCTAAATGGGTCTTGTAACTGCAGTTTAGGATTTTATGGAGTAACTTGTGGCCTATGTAAGTATTTATAACTAATTTAAATTAAAAAAAAATCAAAATTAAAAATAAAATGCTAAATGTTTTAATTAAGATACAATAAAATTTTTCTTAGACGATTATTCATACAAAATTCAGTATGTCTCAACTCCTAATGATGTTCCTCGTGTACTAGCAGAATTAATAAGTCAACTATCCAATTATAATATAGCAAATGCCTTTCGCATAGACCCTGGAAACATTATTCAAGTGGTATTTTACAAAATTATTACAGATGAAGATTTGCTACAAATACAAAAAATAGCTTTTAATATCGGAGGGCCAATCCAAGCAATCAACGATTACAATGAATGCCTCGAACGAAAGCAGGCATGCTATTCTGGAAGCGTTTGCGTCAATACATTGGGGTCGTTTAATTGCATTTTAAACGGTATATTTTAGTAATCATGAATTTAAATAATTTCTTATTTACCTATTTGTTTATTTGTTTTTTTTTTCTTTGGGTACTTGTTAAACAAAACATATTTTAAATTAAAAAATGTTCAAATAAAAAAATTTTCAAATTTTGTTATGACACATGGTCATAATGACACATGATGCCCAACTTGTATTTTGGGACTCATGGTTTTTTTTTTTATTTACTAAATTTTATTTTCAAAAAGCAAAATTTTTACAAAAAATAAAAGTACTTTACAAGAAACATAAAAATTAAATTTTGGATTTCAAACTTAAGATTGTCTAAATTTTTTATCCCATTTTAAAGTTTTATGTAAAATGTGGGAGATAAAGTGTTTGTTTTTTTTATATTTTAAATAAGATCACATATCTTAATCTTTACTTTTTATTTATTTTACATTAAAATGTTTTTTAAACTTATCAACATTAACAAATATTTAATTAAAAAAAGTTTCTTTCAGAGTTAGGTGTAATTGAGACAACCTAAAACCACGAAAGAATGTTTTTAAGGCATATGTAATCATTGAGCGATTATACATATTATATATGTATGTAAACTACATAAGTGACTATGAGAAATTGAAGATCTCCCCTGCTTTTTGTAATTAAAAAGAAAGATTTTGCTTCAGTTAAATCAAAAACAAAATGATTCAACTAAATCTTAAGTCCTACGAGGACTAATTAAATATAATTAAGACTAATCAATTCTAAAAAACCAAACAAAAACTATTAAGACCAAACAAATAAAAAACAATAAGCTACAGCCAGGTTAATTTTTGATTTAAATTTTGGTTTTAATGCTGAGAGATTAATGAAAGCAGTTTGCAAATAAATTATTAGTTTGAAAACATGATATCAAATAAAAAATAATCGTTTTGCAAAATCATAAATATTTTAGAATTTTACAAAGTAAAAAAAATGCCTTTTATGCCATATGACTCAATACATTTTAAACACTTTTTGGTATAAAAATCTATACTCTTTGGTAATTGAAAATTTTTCTAAACATTACTCAATATAATTTAAATATATTGCACCTCCGTTACACAAAATCTGTTTTTTATATTTTTTCTTTTTTAACAATTTAAAAAGGTTCAGCAATCAAGTTGTTTTTCTTGAAGTGACAAATTTTTTAGTAGTTTTACGTTACTAATGTTTTTTATTAAATGGAACTTTTGGATACACACAGACCTAACGGCACAACTTATTTGGTTCAATCGGTTAGTGTTGTTGGGTTAGCAATAAATTTTTTTCTCGAACGTTAGCTTTCAACTAATAACGTCAAACAAGTAGTACTTCGTTGGCATTAATTAAAGAACTCTTTTGTCTAGTTATGCCTACTTTTATGTTTTATTTATAGTGGGTATTGTGTTAGCATACGAGTAGCTTATCAGACCGACGTCGAGAATGTGCATGTTTTACTACTTTTATCAGCATCCAGGATTTTTGATCTAATACTATGTTTTGATTCTAACTAGATTAATTTAATAATATGCGCTACAACACAACTCAAAGTTCATTTTTATGTAGATGTATACACTGCCAATTAGGACTTCCAGTAAGAACTTTTTTAAAAAAAGTTCGAATCTGAACATGTTTGATCTGTTACGGAAAAAAGCTCGAACTATTTCGAACTTTATTTTAGTTATGTTAAAACTCATAAAACTAATACAAAGAATGCGTAAAAGTATTTATTTGTTTATTTATTTATTTGAAAACAACAGAAGGACTCGAAGGCCACTAACACTGAGTATACATTAACAAATTTTTTACTGAAATGTTAAATTGTATCAAGTGCTGAACAAGTTAGAACAAAAATGTATTAAATTGAAAAAACAAGTACAGCAAGATGGTTCTTAAACATCGAGACAGATGATGCAGACACCGCATTCTCCGATAAGCTATTCCATACATTAACAATTCGATTAGAAAAGAAACACTTAATGCTGTTTAAACTACAATGGTGTTTGTACAGTTTAAAGTTATGACCACGATTATTCAAGTAAGAATTAAGAATAAGAATGTTTGATTGATCAGTGTCCAGTTTACCATTTTTAGTGAAGAAACGTTGCACTTTTTCAATTTTATTAATCAGGCATATAGTGTAAGGTGAACATACTGAAGAGCAATATTCAAGCATAGATTGTACATAAGTACAGTAGGCTTTAACCATCAGCAATCTATCTCGTGAATAAAAATAATTTAGAACAAGCTCTTGACATAGCTTTATGTACGATAAGATCGATATGTTGATTGAATTTGAGATTTCTATCAAATGGTAACTAAACTCCAAGATCTTTTATACAGTTAACATTGGGAAGTTCATGGTTATTCATAGTGTAAACACGCTGAGTTATGTTTTGACTCTGGTTAGCAATAGTACAGACAAAGGATTTTTCAGTTGCAATTTGGAGTTGCCTAGTACAACTCCATTCGTACAAACGATTAACAGTTGTGTGAAGGTCTGACTGAAGGCGACGTACATCATAGACTGAGTATAATTTAATATCATCAGCAATAAGTTTAAGTTTGACATCAAGCTGTTTATTAATGTGGTTCACATCATTGATAAACAATAAGAACAGAGTAGGTCCAAGAACGCTCCTCTGTGGAACACCGCTTGTTACAGAATTGTTTGAATTCAATAACTTTTTTTCGTCAATAGGACATAACCTATCAAACAAGATTCCTAATGTAGACAACGACTCTGTTGATGAATTTATATCATCACCAAATTCAACTATAAATTTTTCAAATCTAACTTATAATGAATTCGAAATTGCATTTAAATCATTAAAAAGGAATAAAGCAATAGGGCTTGATGATATAAATGGAAATATTGTAATCGACTATTTTAATGAGATTAAAGATATCCTCTTCAAAGTCTTCAAAGCATCTATTACTCAAGGATCGTTTCCAAATAGTTTGAAAATAGCCAAAGTAACTCCAATCTTTAAAACAGGTGACCATACCAAATCTTTTCAAAAATATTAGAAAGAATAATGTATAATAGAATTTACACTTATCTTATTGATAATAAACTCCTTTATAAAAATCAATTTGGTTTTCAGAGAAACAGTTCTACTGAACACGCTGTTCTCCAAGTAAGACGCAGTATTGCCGATTCATTTAAGAATTCTAAATTCACACTAGGCATATTCATTGACTTGTCAAAGGCTTTTGATACTGTTAATCATCATATTTTAATAAAAAAGATAGAGAGCTATGGTATAAAAGATAAAACCCTAAATTGGTTCAAAAGCTATCTAAGTAACCGCAAACAATTTGTTTATAACAAAGAATCTTCATCGCAAATAATAAAAAATATAACGTGCGGTGTCCCCCAAGGGTCCATACTTGGACCACTATTATTTCTATTATACATAAATGATCTTTACAAAGCTTCTACCCTAACGACCGTAAATTTTGCAGATGATACAAATTTATTTCAGTCGCACGAAAACATAGAAATACTCTTTGATAATATGAATAAAGAATTAAAAAGAATATCATATTGGTTTAGAAAAAATAAATTGTCCTTGAATGCGGATAAAACAAAGTTTATACTTTTTCACCCAACCTCTAAAAAAAAGAGAATCCAAAATATCTTACCTGACCTATTCATTGACAATACAATCATAAAAAGAGAAAAATTTACAAAATTTTTAGGAGTCATAATAGATGAAAACTTATCTTGGAGTCAGCAAATTGATAGTATTTCAATGAAAGTTGCTAAAAACATTGGAGTTCTATACAAAGCTCGATATATTCTAAATAAAAAGCAACTAACTCAACTATATTATTCATTTATTCATTGCCATATAAACTATGCCAATATTTTATGGGGAAGCGCTCACAAAACCAAACTTAAATCTCTCTATCGGCATCAGAAACACGCAGCTCGCATAATTAATTTTGGAAATCGTTTTTCAAGCTCAACACCACTTCTTATAGAAATGAAAACTTTAAATATATACGAACTAAATATTTTTAATATTTTATGTTTTATGTTTAAATGTAAAGAAAATTTATCTCCAAGTGTATTTATAAATCTCTATAATTTGAAACCAAAAAACAAATATGAACTACGTGATAGTAAAAATATTTAAGAGCCGTTTTGCAAAACAAAAATTGACCAGTTTTGTATTTCTTATCGTGGTCCATTTCTTTGGAATAAAATAGTTTTACCTAACTTTGATTTTTCTTTTAAATGGTCTTATTCCTCCTTTAAAAAGAAAACAAAAGAAATAATCTTTTCAACACAAAATATATTTATTTATTTTTAGTATTTTAAGTTATTTGATATTTTTGTCGACTGTGTGGTGAATATTATTTAAACAATATATGCTGAATACTTTATATTATAATATTGTTCAATATTGAGAATGTTATATATCCATATTATAAAATATTATGTTAAAACTTGCTTAACATTTGAAGAATATTCTAACGCTTATGTAATTTTTAATATTTGTAAATTTTCTACCTTTTAATTCGTTATATAGATTGTAAAGGGCTTCATGATAAGATCATGTGATCTTCTGGAAGTCCTACCAGTAATATATTCATTGTAAATTTACCTTGTACATATTTTTCTGGGAAAAAAAAAAAAACTTGTTAAAACTTGTTAGATATAGCATGAGAAGTAACATTGTTTAAATTTACCACTTGTGATCTCATATGCAGAAAATTAGTTAGCCAATTCAGAAGATTGCTAACTATTTCGTAAGTGGGTAATTTCATTAGTAACTTAGGATGTAAAACTGAATCGAAAACTTTCTTAAAATCAAAATAAATAATATCTGTTGGAATACGGCGCTGAAGATTTAAAGACCAGTCATGAAGACTTTGTAGAGTATTAGTACAGGTACTACGTTTACGAATAAAACCATGCTGCTCTTTTGTGATTAGGTTATTGAGTAAGAGATAATTAATCTGTTTGTTATTAATGATTCTTTCCATTACACGACAACA